GACAAAAGTGCGTATCAGTGCTACACGTGCGCTCTCTGCTTGAGCTGTCGACAAGAACGTGTCACTATTTGGACAATATTACCCATTATTTTCTGAGTGAGCTTTGTGGTGCGCTGTACCAGTCAGACTGGCGCCGACCGCAGTCCGTCCTTATCAAAATAAGCGCAGCAACGACCAGGTTAAAAGTTTACACAGATTTGAGCTTTGATTACACATAATTTTGATCGTCAGTTGAATGAACTGATGTTACTCAAATTTCAGTTGCATAATTTGCAATAATGATGAAAGTACGCAGCTGACATTGGTCGGAAAAGAAAATATGGAGCATTACCTAGATATGACTCAAGTGTTTCGCTATTTTTCCGTAGACCGATTGTTTGGAACTCGCATATACAGGGCGTAAAATTCTGGATTAATCTACAAGTACTAAGCCGCGCGGACCACTGAAGGCACCATGCAGAGACAGGGCAGAGAAACGAGTTCATCCAAGGAACGTTCATAACAGACAGACTAAAGGCCTAGCTCAAAGGATAATAGAGTACGTCTTGTCCTATATTTACAAGAATTATATTCATGATATAACATACTAATATACGATAAAAACAGGTTTCATTGAAGACCAGAGAATTTGTTATATGAACTATTTTCTTATTAATTTTTTCAATAAATCGGACAATATTTTTCATTTGCATTGATAAATCAAAAATCAGGGTAACGATGGACATTTTTATTTGGTTAACAAAGTTTCGAATGCATCAATCATTCATTATCAAGTTATAAGTCGCATTGGGTGATAAAATTTGGATCGACATAAGTACAAAATCATGTAAACATGAAGATGATCAAGAATTAATGCACCAAAAATTAGTCCGAAAACGGTCTCAGGAGGCTGTAAAATCCAATTGTTTGAAGGTTGATGGCTGGAGTCCTATCCTTAATGATGAGGGCCTCAGCTATCGCGAGTCTTTTGGCGTCGGGGCATCGCATGACGACGCTGCATGGTGCATTCTTCCAGCACCGTATACACTGGATGAGAGCACGTATTGTGCTTCTTTTGCAGCGCTCGGGGCATTTGAGAGGGGCGTTTAGGACCCGTCCGACATCTGTTGTTTTCCATGAATACTTTTGTGACGAACGAATTATATTCATTTCAGCCTGTACGAATACAACTGAAAAGACAAAGTACAATAATTATTATGTCCAAGTTCGTACATAAGCTTCAAGTTAGAATTATTTTTAAAGGTCATTTGTAGATTCCTCAGCTGTTCCTCGTCTCGAACGACAACGAAGATATCATAGACATACCTGCAGTACAATTCGGGCCTGATCTGTTCATCTGAAAGTACTCGATTTTAAATTTTGCACATATAGTATTAAGTAAAGTAGGACCAAGCTGACTGCCCATGTCTACGCCGTTGATTTTTCGGTAAATTTTGTTGTCGGGAGCCCGGAAAGGTGAATCATAAGTGCTGAGTCGAAGGATATCGAGGAAAATTTCTTGGGTATCGGTGGAGCAGTCAAGTTTAATGAGATTATACGTGCTTCGCAATGATTTTTAATGTTTCTTCAGTTGGGACGTTGGTGAAGAGGCTGGTGACATCAAGTGACGCAAGAAGGCCAGATGGGCGTGCAGCGCGGAGGATCTCCAAAAAGTCGTCTCGAGATTTCACAGAGAATTCAATGATTTTTGTAGCTTGAAAATGAACATTTATTGAATTCGAAACGTCTTCATTAAAACTAAAACTCCTTCCTGAAATATGCCTTTCGACCTTACCAATGTCATCTAAAGAATTGACCGATATTTTTAACAGCATTGTGACAACATTTTACAGATGGTAACATGTAGCCTCCACTTAATAAAGGACCAGTTGAACATGTGTACAGACGCGAGTGTCTTATGTTAATACAACGTGTCCGTAGGCAGACGAAGTCTAATGTAACCAATTCCAAACACAACCGCGTTGACGTGAAGTTGTCCTGGCGCGTCACTTGGACGCGGAGCTGCCGTCCTCGATCTACATGGCGTGACGAGAGTTAACCGCGCGTTTTACAGCACCCCTTATATTAACAATTTTCTGTCAGCAATTGTATAAAATTATTAATCGTTGTATTCTGACTATTTTTAAATTAAAATATTAATGCTATTGGAATCATTTTTATTTGTGATTTTAAAATTCTAGGATTAAGATAACTATGGAAATTTTTCCGAAAACATGTGATTAAAAACAAAGTAATTTATAAAGGGAAAATCAATACGACAATTGATAAGAAAACAACGCGTTTGGTTTCTTGCCTTGCAATCCTTCACAAACTCATGCCACTACATTGCACTTTACCGAGCGTATATCATCACCATTGACTTGTGTGCAGACTCGTAATCAATCTGATAATAGTTAGNAAAGGGAAAATCAATACGACAATTGATAAGAAAACAACGCGTTTGGTTTCTTGCCTTGCAATCCTTCACAAACTCATGCCACTACATTGCACTTTACCGAGCGTATATCATCACCATTGACTTGTGTGCAGACTCGTAATCAATCTGATAATAGTTAGGGTAACATGGGGCAGCAGCCCCCCTTTTTTAAATTAAATTTTGGATGAAGTTTTAAGTGATGCGGGGTAGTCCTTTGTTTTGTTTAAAAGTAAAACTAATGAGGAATGTATGATGTGAATTACACGCCTATAGAGTTATTTATTTTTTATTAAACACTATTTTGTAAAAAGTGTCACAATGGGCCCATTGCCCCACCCATAGGGCAATGAGACCATGGGCTTGGGGCGAGCCCCTTTACCTCAATTGCATATTTTTTGTTTAAAAATGATAAAACAGCACTTACAGTTCAAAAAAGAAAAGTGTAACAAAAAATATTTCATTCATTCGTATATAAAAACTTAAAAAAAATCATATCCTTAACTTGAAAAAAACATAAATTGTTGGCTTAAAAAATCTATCAATGACGTAAAAAAATATTTCCATGACATAAAAATATATATCCATGACTTGAAAAATATATCCTTGCCATTAAAAATTAATCCATGACATGAAAAAATGTATCATTGACTAGAAAAAAATATATTTACTTGATCAGAAAAAATTGCGTTCCAGTTTCGTCCATAATCCAGATATTATGTGCAGGGAATTCGTACTTAGTCGTAATTTCAGCCAACACCTTAAAAAACTCATCAATTTTTGGCTCTTTGGTGTTGGGCGCATGGGCGCTTTGCCCCGTGACACGCGTAGGCCCGTTGCCCAACTAGGTTTCATTTCAATTTATTTCGCGTCAACATTTTATTATAAAAGCTATACGTGGCTTGTATTGTCTAAACTTGAACTTAAAATTATTCCTATAAATAATACTTCCAAAATATAATTCACAATAATTTCAAAAGCTTCATATACAGTAATCGAAAACAGTTTTATTTAGCAGCAAATAAATTTTTAACTGGGCAAAAACAGTTATTTGCGAGTAACTTATCAACGCAAATTCTCAACAAAACGTAGAGACATGCACCTCGGCCCAGTGAAAATGTCGACCGGCGGTAGAGAACACAGCCCAAAATCTACCATACTTAGCGGGAACCCGCCATGGGAAAAGCGGGAAACCCGCCATGACAAGAAGTGGTCCCGTTGCCCCATGTTACCCTATGCAGCTGTGTCGCTCCTTTTTCTTTAAATTAGTATCGGAAAATACATGGCTTATGTGTGACCGATGTATAGGAGGAATTTAACAAAGAGTTGGAAGAACTCTTTTTCTTCATATGATTTCGTTTTTATTTGCAGCGAATGTTTAACTCGGCACAGCTGAACTCACCAAAGTATTGATGGAACACAAAAATAGATCTGCTGTTGGCTTTCATCGTAGGTGTTGTTGAGGCCCACACTCAGAATTGGGACCCAGACTCCGTATTGGGGCCCAGACTCAGGATTGGGGCCCAGACTTAGAATTGGGGCCCAGACTTAGAATTTAGTCCCAGACTCAAAATTGGGACCAGGCTCAGAATTTCGCCGGTGTACCAAATTGGAATTGGTACTAAGGTGTCCCAAATCCTTTGAAAATACAAACCAAGCTAACTTATATATATATGTATGCATCATTATACGAAAATCTCTTTCTTAAGTTAGCCTGCGATATCATTATAAAATACATTTAATTTCTATAGACTGGTACTCAAATACGTGGCTTGTATTCGTAGATTGATATAACAGTCACGAACAAACATAGCGATTATTCTGAGGAAAAAATAACAATTTTTGAATATTGTATTCCCTAACCACTCGGAAGGGTGGGCAAGTGGTTACAGTGCAGAGTACCATGATTGGAGCAGTGAGTTGTTGGTTCGATCCCAGCTTGCAGTGACAATTATAGTAAAAATCAGCGAGCTGGTAGAGCGATTACGCGGTGTACCATATTACGGATAAGTCAGATGATTAGATGATCTCCCACAAAAGTCTTCCATATGTTTCATTGTAAAGCCAACATCATGGATGAATGTACATGAATGTCACTTATGAAAAATGTACTGTGCATGAATGCCATGGATGAATGTATATGAATGTCGCGGATGTACATGAATGTCACGGATGAATATTGTACATGAATGTCACGGTTGCATTTAGCAGATCTGCCACCCGCCCACGCCGCGTTATTTGCACGCTACAAACATCACGGAACAAAGAGCTCATATCTCACTCAGAGAAGTACGTGAAACTTCGTTCAAAAAGCGAAGCGATTTTAGCACTTGAGTGGGTTATCCGGACCCAGCTTTGCTCAGTAGTGGCGTGCCAGTGATACTTTTTCTCTCTGCCCGTGGTATGGGTAAGAAAATGCGTTGATATTTGGACAATATGACCCACTCATGTCTCGGAGTGCGCCTGTAATGTTTGCAGTGTACATGTGCCCCAACTTGTACAAACTTGAACACATTTTCTGTGCAGCACAAAATTTCCCCATAAAAGAAGCTGCTCCGCGCGCAGCACTTCACTAGTGCTTCACTGAGCAGGCGAAGCACGCGCTGTGATTTGATTTCTTGCGTTCAGAATTGCTAAAATATTGAATACTAGACAAAATCGGTAGGGTAAAGAGAACAGAAATGGGGTGTTCAGTTAATATTGTTGTCCTGAACCTGGCCTTTATGGTTATCGCTTCTTGTGTTGTCGCTGTGAGTATTTCTTTGTTGTGTTATATTATTATTTGGATATACAGTGTATGTAAATGTTTGACCGATGTATGTGCGAACTCGATTTTTCGGATGATGGCAAACTCAATTTTCCGATATTTTGTAGATTAATGTTATGATTACTTGACCATTAACTTAGTGATTAGTTGGCCAACGGATTAAAACTATGAGTCCCATGTTTTATACATTATGATAGTTGTGGATTTACCTACAAGCTGAAAAGAATAATATACCTCTAATCTGTACAAATATATATATCAATAGGAGTTGAGATGAATCTCAAGCTCTACTGCTAATGTGTAAATGATTATGAGGATTAAGAAATTTTATTCACGATCTTCCAATGAACGATGATCTCTAAACCAGAATTAAAAAGAGTCTAGCTTCTAAAACCGAATAGAAAAAATTGGGTGGAAAGAATTAAAGAGAAAACAATACCACGGTATCCTAATGAAGAGTGGAGTATTATTAATATGTGACTCCATCCGATTTGAGCAGAATGAGTTATCAAAGGAATGAGTTAGCAATCAACAACGTCATTTCTGCTTCGAGGACATAATGAAATTCGAAAAAAACATATAACGATTTATACAATAAAGCTTAACATGAGCATAAAAAACAGCTCCCATACCGCAACAACAACGCTGCATAGACCCTTCCTAAGTCTCGGACAAATTTACAGCCGGACTTGCGGCCGGTCTCGCAGCAAATCTCCAAATTCACTGAGCAAGCAATATCTCCCAAAGTAGTGAACGTAGCTCAATAAAACTTGGTACACGTATTCATTAGGACGTAACGGTGATGTTTAGCTCGTGAAAATTGTTTAGATTTTGCCTTCGTTTGCGATCTTTTATTTCATTTTCCTACATTCGGGATTTGAACAGCAATACGTGCTTAAATTCGCAGTGAGCAAGAAATTTTTCCTAAAATACTGAACAAATTTGAACGGAACTTCGAATGTGAATACCTTACCTCCTAACGGTGATGTTTAGCTCGTGAATTTTTTTTTCGATTTTGCATTCGTTTGCGTGTTAAATGGCTTTACGTATACGACTCTTGGTCAATGCGAGTTTAACAATCGGCCTGGGAAATGCCGGTCATTTCTCCGTATATCCGTATAACTCGCAAACGAAAGCAAAATCTAAAAAATTGCTACGAGCTAAACATCACCGTTGGAAAGTTAGTTTTGTATATTCAAAGTTTCGTTCAAATCTGTACAGTAATTTAGAAGAAATTTCTTGCTCACTGCGAATTTCGGCACTTATCGCCATATAACTCACGAATGAAGGTGAAATTCCAAAAATTTTCAAGAGCTAAACATCACCGTTACGTGCTAATGAATACGTTTACCAAGTTTTATCGAGCTACCTTCATTAATTTATGAGATATTCTTTACTCACTGGATTTGGGAGACCGGCCGCTGTCCGGCCGCGAGTCCGGCCGTAAATTTGTCCGAGACGCACTCTTCCTCGATCTGTAATAATCGATCTAATAATTACTAAAACTAATCATTTTCAAAAGTAAATCATGAAATTAAGTAAATAATTAATTACATAAATTATTTATTTTCATTATAAAATACATAAAATTATAGTCTATTGGTTACTTGATTTATTATTTAATAAATTTATTGAATTTATTATATTGTTTAATATTAAAATCAATTAATTTCATTTTGCATTCAATTAATTTATTATTAAAATAATTTAAACAACATAAATAACGTTATTAATTAGTTGTCCTCAATGGCCAGACTTTATAACAAATCTAAATGCTTTGATGGGCAATAAATAAGAAAACCATTAGAAATAATCCCGTGTGTAATTCTAGGAAGATGGCGCGCAGTGTAATTAATTTATTGATGCTTCATTTATGAATAAGTATTTTGATTATATTTTTCGCAAAAAATCGTAATACCTGCAATTTTTTCAGGTAATCGTTGTACAGTGAGATGAATAAATCTCATTTTAACTTTAAGAACGGATATTTGATGTAAGGGATTTGAATGATAATTAATTTGTGACATAAATCTGAAATGAAACCGGCCGGTGGAAATGATTTTATATTTGCGTAAAAAAAATTTACATGGTTTTAGAAGCCAGCTGACATATCACCTCTTCAGATTCTTGCAAAGCTGGTAAATCTGACTAATATACTTTCGATATTTTTAATTTTTTAAGTCATGTTTATCATTAAAATTTTAATAAATATGATCACAAAACAGAGAAAAACTGTATCAGAAAAATAAAAAATTAATGTTAAGGATGCTGAGCAATATCGCTGCATGGAGACAGTGAAGTTTCACGTCGTTAGCCTCAGTTTCCGCAGGTGGCCCGGTATCAGGAATAATTGCCTAGTGTTTAACAGAAATAAATATAAAATCTAGAAAAGAAATGGCCGCACCAGGTCTTTTCGAATGGTTTCTTGTGTGTACTACATCGCAAATGTTTAACATTGTTCTACGCAGCTGTGTAGCTTTTATTCGAGATCTTCGTGCTGGAAAAAACAGGGCATCTGTGTGACGAAGTTATACACGAAATTTCAAAGAGATGCGTAGAACAATGTTAAACATTTGCGATGTAGTACACACAAGAAACCATTCGAAAAGACCTGGTGCTGCCATTTCTTTTCTAGATTTTATATTTATTTCTGTTAAACACTAGGCAATTATTCCTGATACCGGGCCACCTGCGGAAACTGAGGCTAACGACGTGAAACTTCACTGTCTCCATGCAGCGATATTGCTCTGCATCCTTAACATTAATTTTTTATTTTTCTGATACAGTTTTTCTCTGTTTTGTGATCATATTTATTAAAATTTTTATATTAAACATGACTTATGAAGAAGCAACATGTCTCATACTTTTCTTTGTGTGAGTCATGTCGCAAGTGTTCATCAGATCTGAGCTCTTTGTCCTTGTATTTAGGCTTCGCAAACATATATCCATTGTAGGCGTACATTGTCAAGTGTCGAGGAGGCCTAGACTCTAGCTTCTAGAAACCTTCTAGTATCATGGGTGGATGCCAGAGTATCTAGTACACATTTAATGATGTATTGAATTGAATTAACCGAATAAAAATTCAGAACCCCTATAAACGCCAAGTAATTTCACATCACTTCATTAAAAAGGTTTTGATTACCAGCTCTACCATCTGTTCAAAAATGTATATAGAGGCGCGCAAAATATAAAAATGTATATGTAGTCACACAGAATATAATTCATATCAATTAAATTGAAATATCCTGAATGCCTAAATCATTGTACTAATGATCAACTATTTTTCTATTACTTAATGGCAAACCTAAAAAAGGTAAATAAGTTAAGGTATGTATACCAGAATGTTGCATCTCGTGAATGGTGCATAGCGATCCTGATCTTCTTCAACTCAAACCTCATATATTATAGGTAATTATTTTATATATTATAGGTAACCGTTTTAAATATTATAGGTAACCATGTTATATATTATAGGTAACCATGTTATACTGTATATTATAGGTAACCGTGTTATTTATTATAGTTAACCATGTTATATGTTATAGGTAACCGCGTTATATATTATAGTTAACCATGTTATATGTTATAGGTAACCGCGTTATATATTATAGGTAACCATGTTATATAATATAGGTAACCGCGTTATATATTATAGGTAACCATGTTATATAGCCAAGTAATTTCACATCACTTCATTAAAAAGGTTTTGATTACCAGCTCTACCATCTGTTCAAAAATGTATATAGAGGCGCGCAAAATATAAAAATGTATATGTAGTCACACAGAATATAATTCATAGTTTTTATAATTCAGCAGTTTTTAAGCTTAGGCCCAGTTTAAATTCAGCTGTGAGCTCCTATCCCCTTGAAATTGTGAATAGATAGGTTTTTATGCCCTATTACTTGTAAATTTAGGTTCTAATTGTGTTCTGTGCTTTCAATTGTAATAACTTGTGACTTTCTATGTATGTTCTAGATTCTATGAACTGACGATGGAGCTGGACTCCGAAACGTTTTCTATAAAGATATGAATTTTTGTGGACTATTCTTCGCTTTTAAATTTTTAGTCAACTTGCGATTTAAGCAAATATGTGACATTAATACTATATCAATTAAATTGAAATATCCTGAATGCCTAAATCATTGTACTAATGATCAACAGAGTTTGCTATATGCTTATAATCGCTCAGTCAAACTTAAACTTGAATTACAATACATATTGGGCAGAAATTATTACATTTTTGCATGAGCAAACTCATTGATCGAAAGTCTGATGTTAAATTTATCAACAAAATCGTACGGTTGCAAAAAATATTCGACGTCTGAAATAATTTTCATTTTTCTTAATGGCAAACCTAAAAAAGTTGAATAAATTAAGGTATGTATACCAGAATGTTGCATCTCGTGAATGGTGCATAGCGATCCTGATCTTCTTTAACTCAAACCTCATATATTATAGGTAATTATTTTATATATTATAGGTAACCGTTTTAAATATTATAGACAACCATGTTATATATTATAGGTAACCGTGTTATATATTATAGGTAACCATGTTATATATTATAGGTAACCATGTTATACTGTATATTATAGGTAACCGTGTTATTTATTATAGGTAACCAAGTTATATATTATAAATAGTTAACATGTTATATGTTATAGGTAACCGCGTTATATATTATAGGTAACCATGTTATATATTATAGGTAACCGCGTTATATATTGTAGGTAACCATGTTATATGTTATAGGTAACCGCGTTATATATTATAGGTAACCATGTTATATATTATAAATAGGTAACCATATTATATGTTATAGGTAACCGCGTTATATATTGTAGGTAACCATGTTATATATTATAGGTAACCATGTAATGTATTATAGGTAACCATGTTATATGTTATAGGTAACCTCGTAATATATTATAGGTAATCATGTTACATATTATAGGTAACCATGTTATTATATGTTATAGATAACCGCGTTATATATTACAGGTAACCACGTTTTTTTATGTAACCATATTATATATTATAAATAGGTAACCATGTCATATGTTATAGGTAACCGCGTTATATATATAGGTAACCATGTTATATATTATAGGTAACAGTGTTTGGATCATCTCAAATTTGCTACTCTGAACGAAAAAAAAACTTTCTCGACCCTGATTGAACGAAAAGTGAGAAATAATAAAAAAATTGTAAGGTCCGCCTCATCAACATTGCCTTTCTCATTGTTCTTGCATTTAATAGTGTAGAATTAACTAAACTAGACGAAACGTGTTTACACTATAAATGGTAGAATTCTAAAGAATTTCCATGCACTGGAATCAAATATTAAATTTTTAAATCAAATCGTACCTACCACCAGTGGATTTTAAACAGTGATTAATTCCCTTTACTGATTCAATCGCTTGTAAAACAACCAATCATTACTGAACTAAATTTACTGACTAATTTGTCCTACACTTTGTGACCATGTAAATGACATTATGTTAGGTTTCAAAGCGTTTAATGATTTATATTTACTCTATTTATAATTATGTTTAATCCGTAACGACTACATTACTGAAGGAAGTAGCAGAAATTTTGTAATTAAATGGACTCATCGGTCAAACATGGTGAATACTACTAAACTTACATGACATTTCGCGCTGAAAGATCGTATATCACCTTAAACCTTTCATGGCCAATCACAGAAATAGAATGAAATTAAATTTCAGAAACCAGTACAAGAATGTTGGACAATTATAGGATATGTTCTCCCGTACGTAGTTGCAAATTTTTGACAATTTATATTGTGTTTCGCAGTTGAAGAATCTATTCAATATGATGACTGAAAAATGAATAAAATTTAACTTTAAATATTAAAATGTAAAGTATAGTGATTTAACTATAATTAAATGATATATCATCAATTTGTTTTAATTAACTTTCTAAAAATGGCTATTTCCATATTAAAAACCTGGGATGAAACTCATTGCAAATTTCCGAGCCATAACTTCCGCCAAAATGCTCATATTTTAACTCTCCGGCACAGGTGGAAGTTATGCTAGTTATAAAAAAGGGTCAGTTCTAGAAGAACCAAATATGGTCGCTTCAGGTCTGCTCCAAAAAAAACTCCTTAGTAAGGACCTAGAAGACCGCTTTGATTTCTCTCAAATAAGTAACCATACATGGTCACTTGTCCGCGAGAGGGATAGATGGCAAAAGACCAATCGCCGAACAAAGGACCTTTCTTTGTGTGGAAGTGTGAGTCTTTATGTGGCAGTGTGTGTGTGTGTGTGTGTGTGTGTGTGTGTCCGTGTGCGTGCAGGATAGTGTGTTTTTCCCTATGAAAGAAGCTGCATCTCGCAGATCGGGCCTCACTGAATGTGAGAAGCAACCGCTGAGCATTTATTGACTCTGTTTAAAATTGAACAGCTTTTGAGTTATTGATAAATCCGCCAAGGGAATGGAACAAAAATGATTTGTTCAGTAAACATTATTTTCCTAAACCTATTTTTGCATATTTGCTCATGTGTTCTTGCGGTGAGTTCTTCTTTCAAAGTCATACTGTAATAATCGATACAAAATCCTCGACACCAATATGTTAAAAAAATTGTAATGTTTCTACCCGCTTGGTCGGCACAGAACTTTTCGCCTGCGATACTATTTTATGTATACTGTATGTAAGGCCACACAGGTTGAACATTTGGTGGAGGGTCCTGTAAAAACTTCTATAGTAAAGAAGCGTTAATTTTCAACATATGCTGTTTGTAAGTGTGAAAGTTAAAATTTGTATATTTAAGTTCATTATATGGATTGATTGTTTCCTAAAAAATGAACCTCTGAACCTCTGAACCTCTGAACAATAAAAATTCGATTCATTCATGCCATCTTGCAAAATTAAAAAATCACCTACTGAAAGTAATACATTCAATTTTGTAAGTACAAGATTTGTGTCATTCCGCTTTGAAAATCATTGGAACGAGTGCGTTAAATAAATGTTGTTGGACTAACAATGGCAGCATCTGTGCGTCGAGCAACGCAAAAAGGCAGATTTTTGAGTTTTTATTGAAATAGGAGCGGTTATGAGGAATTATTTTTTGTGTAGAGTAGTTAGTCGACTCATAATTGTATCGATTTATACTTATTTTTCTAACAGAAAAAGTAAATTTTGTTCAATAACGTTAGGACGCAAATGATTTTGTGTATTCTCATTAATGAATCACTAATTTGTTGTTAAGTTTTCCCTATCGCACTTTCCATCATCAATTTGTCTCACCCCAATATTACCACGATGTATGTAAAATCAATCATGTTCATGTATAAATACGTACATAGTTCTGTCAGTATCGAGACGAAATTAGATAAATTCCCTGACTTCAGGTAACAGTGAGACATTTTCGCGCCCACTTAATATGCCGTAATTAGTTTACACTAAATTGTGGGACTTGATGACGGAGAAAAGATGAACGCCATTCTGAGACATCACTTTCTTTGGTCGACTTTGTTCGTTTAAGGTTAGGTGTGGGAGAAAAACTTTTCTATAACACTGATAATTCTACTGAGGTTGGATCCAGGTAGCACAGTTTTTTATGCATTCAGTAGCAAATGGAATATATCATTTAATCGTAATCATGGTATTTCCAATCTATAGCTATATATATTTAAAATTTGACAAATCCAAACTTTGTTTTGGCACGCAATTTCTTTCAAATTAAAAAATATATATATTTAAATAAAAATTTTATTTGGATTGACTTAGCCTAAAAAGAAAGGTCACTAGCAATGAAACTTAATCAATAATCTTACCCTAATCTTTAGATGTTAGCGTTTTTTTCATGTGCCGTTTTGTGGACGTATAATTGGCATGACTGGAAATTAGCTTGTTTATTAATTACCGGACGCACTTTCGTCCGGTCATGTACCATCGTCCGGCAATACTACCAATAACGTCGGGTTAATAGCGAAGCTATATATTATATATATGTATATTTATGTATAATGGTCTCCTTCATCAAGCATGTAATCAAGTTGCTGGATGATCATTGCCCGAATTTTCCCCCGCAGATGCCCGCCAATAACGGGGCACCTCGGGGAAGTCTCCTGAACGTGGTGGTGGATGGAGTGGAATATTCCCCACAAGAATTTCGTCGACATAACATGCAGAGGAACATGCTCCTCTCTGCAAACATGTGGCCAATTGGAGAAAATGGAACGGTTGTAGTTCCCTACCGATATGGAGGTAAGGGAATTTCAATCATCCAAATTGAGAACAGATAGGAATAACGAGTTTTCTCCCGATACCAAGAGCGAATGCTTAATACCCATGAGAATTTACAATTGGCCATTGTGCATCAATCCTCAATTTAAACGATATATATATACATACGAAAACTACACTTTTTCATGAGTTTCGAGTACTTTAATTATTCGTAAGCGTTCTGTAATCATAAATTGCTCGTAGCAAGATTTGAAAATTCTACTAATATCCATAAGCGGATTTTCTCCTTAATAAGCCATTCGACCATCCATTCAAAAGTTAATCTCAAAGGAATAGGTGAAAAACGCGATGACAACTAGATTGCAAAAATTTACTGTTTATAAATCGCATTTTTCATTCCCATTTTAGGCGATAGCATGCGATAAATACTTATAGAACTTTTAACCTATTCGAAAATAGCTTATCAATAATATTTGAGAATATTTCTTGATTTTAAATTTGGCAATAGCGAGTAAAATAATAACAGGTCTCTCTGATATTTTTTGGTATCTTCTCGACCGGTTAGTTGAGCCAACACCATACCTGCCGCTCATGGTTATTTCCAAAGATTGAATAAAACCTAAATTTGATTTAAACACAATGCCAGCTCATCCTAGACTAAGTTTGGTGACAAAGAAAACAGTTTCAAATAACTTATTTCGTGATGATTACTAAGTAACAAGAGATGATACTAACAATGATGAAAACTAACAAGATGATTACTAAGTAACTTTGTTTTTTTTTAAATCGGGGTGAACAAGGTGATGATAAACCAAATCTAACATGAACTTAAGGCAATGAAAATGAATCGTAAATTCACCATTTCTCATCACAAACGTTTCCGATACCAGGTTCGTCATCAATGTCATCAATGATATATTTTAGAGAATACATGCATGATAAATGAAGAAATTGTAAGTTTCTGTGGAAAAGATTAAATCCTGAGTTCAAAAAAAACGGAACAAGAACATAAAACATATTCCTAATCAATTCCAAGAGGTAAAAAGATTTCAAGTGGATTCCGTAGGCATTATTAAGGCAGGAAATAGGTCTTAAGTCCCGGCCACTTGAGGTGGAACCAAGAGTTTTAAAATTTCTCTCCAACCTAGTTACGTCACACTGTTCGGCAATCCAAAATTAAAGGTTGCGCAATGTTATTCAACGCTCGCCGATGCTCAGCGCGCACATCTGTACTCATAAACTAGGAAATATCTTATTTAGGCTGTAATGGCATCTTTATACCGGAAGAAAGAACAAATTTTGAAATTATTAATCTGTAACACATGCAAGTTATCATTCTGAAAAAATTGATGAATAAGATCTCCAAATTTGTGGACATAGTTTCCGATGAGCTCACAAAGTATGGCAAAGGACAATAAATTATTGTCCTACAATCAACCTCATTAAATGTTTCAAAATATCGTTAAGACAAAAGTTTTTTTAATTCAGTAAATATTACCTTGGTTTGGAACCCAATTATATGGAATACATTACAAATGAATTAAAAATCACAATGCATATCATGGAAGGTGGAACAAATTCAATAGGCTCTGCTATGTTTGTTTATTGTACCTGTAATCGCATAATTTTTAAAAGGATGAGAAGCTGGCCTTCGAAATGTTTTTGTCATTCTTTGCTTTCCAATCTTTGGCAAACTTGCGATTTAAGCAGACTAATAAAGAAGGGAATGTGAACCAAATTTTGAAAATTTCTTTTAACCAAACACTGAACAATTTTGTCCTTCACAAGCCGAGATGAACAAGGAGATGATTATCCTATTATGTCCTCCAACAGTCGGGGTGAACAGGGATATAATGGAGCTCGCCCTGAGGAAATGGGAGAAGGACACCTGCATCAGGTTCCGCGAGATGGCGCCGAATGAAGTTTTGGAAAACAACTTCCTTGACATGAAGTTCAAAAAGCAATGCACCTCCACCGTGGGCGCCGTATCTGACGGTCCAACAGTTATACACGTCGAAGATGCTTGTGGTGTATGAATATTTATTAAGATTTATAATTTAAAAGAATTAAAACTGTACATCTAATTCAAATAAATTCAACCCGGGAGCTTAGTATTGATTTTCCGTTTATTTTAAAAAGAATATTAATATACTTTCCTGCTAGTACTCGTGTTTTAACAAGAAGCGCCCACACATCACTTCCAAATAAATATTTTATTCTAATATGAACTGTTATATGTTTACTTAATCATGACCTAGAATGCCTAGTATTGTTAGCGGTTTCATTTATAGAACATGGGACTTAAATAATGTTAGTAAAGTAGGTATACATACAGAGCTTCTTAAGCCAGGAAAATATTTAACTGAGGATATCTAGAAGGCCGACCTAATAAATTAGCGAAATTCCAAAGAAATCGATGGACATAAGTCATAATTTTTATATTGACAGTATTCAGTTATTAATTCATTCGGAGGGAAAATTACTTCCTAATAATCATCATTCCCTTAATAAAAATAAATTCTGAGTGAATATACATAGTTGCTCCGGGTTAACTAGGACGTAAGATTTACGTTCAAATTAGCCATATCGGCAAGCTTTCATAACTACTGGTTTTAATTTTGCAAGTATTAATTTTGAACGTTGAAACAAATCGTAAGCCTTGCCTTCGTTAGTGAAGATCTGGGGCGATCAATTACCTGATTATTATACACAATTAGCAATTAATTAGTTTGGAATGAAGAGACTACGTTAAACATTCCTTTCCAGAACTACAAGCCGGATTCTCGTGACATTGCCCTATCAATATCATATGATATTGATAATTTTTAGCATAAGTACCTACAATTACGTTAATTCAGTTTTTTTGCAGGCTAAAGGCTTCCTCCACGAGCTTGCTCACGCTCTGGGATTCACGCACGAACAAAATCGAAACGACAGGTGGGGTGCGCCTGTAGGCATGTTTCGCGCGTGTCTTAAACGTGGTGCAATTGATTTTTTTCCTCAAAATATATCGAAAAATAGTTTTATTTACGCAATCCATAATTTCTCTACTGATTAAATTTAAGATAAATAGTTTATTTACTGGATGGCTATTGAGTTCATCTTACTCTCTAAGGCACTCCGTATTCACTAAAATTTGAATGAAAAGATTATGATTATCCTAACAATTAAGTCACCTTCCCGCCGCACTTTAATATGGGAATTCGAGAAAAATTATTAAATTCTACCCGATTGTATTAATATATATTATTTCAAGAGAGTGATACTTTACCCACTCATTGGCTAGATATGAGCCCTCCTAACAGTTGATTAGTTGAATTATGTGCGGTACAATATTTATTCAAGCAATATATAATGACATCAATAGTTATTCTATGCCATGTCTCATGAGCATCGATTCAATACTGTGGCGGCTGATACGCAGAACGGCAACAAATGAGGCTCAAAAAAAGGAATCGCTCTTTTGCCCAACACTCTTTAGAAAGGCCGAACAACCAGCTTATTTGGGCACCCAACTAGACTAGAGAAGAATATTTCGTTTCACATTTTAATGCTTGTATAGATGATACTGAATATTGTTATTATAACCGTAGTATTATGCGTGTTCACAAGTGCATGTTTGTATCCATTATACTGACCACTGCTATCATAACCGTAGTGTCCATGATATATGAAGGTAAGCGTTAGGACGCAAATTACCACGGTTATGATAGTAATGATCAGTATTATGAACATTAACCAATACTATTACGACCATTGCACAGAGACAAGTACGTGCGCATCTACCAAGAGAACGTCGATCCTAAGGAGGACAAAAACTATTATGTCATAGAGCGCACCGAAATTTTTGATGTGCCATTCGACTACAACTCGATCATGATTGGATCTGAAGCGGTGAGTGCATGCTAACAATGGGTGCGCAGCCGTATACCAGCAAATTAACGCTCAAATCAGCCCTGGAGTCAACATCAACCATCTAAATGCTATAGATATTGTCATCCTGGCACCAAAGCAGCTGTAGTCAATTGACCTATCTCACCACACAAATTTTAAACAACACTGCATCAGCACACAAGCTGCTACTCCACATAGTTAACGGTCAATACGTTGTTCTCCAATGCTTTATAACCCATACCATCACTTCTTAAACATGCTGTTATCCTAAGTGTCCACTGACCACGCTGCATTGCCGCAAATGTGAACTGTACCTAACGGTAATTCGTCATCACCTTACTTACTCCGCAAGACGTTAACTCCGCGTCACTGTTTCCCTGCCTTACTATCCCAAAGCATCTTCTTCCCCCCACACTTACCCCGACTCTCCACCATTATCGCATGGCTAACTCGATGCTTTTCTCGCAGACCTTTGATTCTTATCCGAATTAGGTTAGGTTACAATTCGTATAGATCCTCTTTTCATAGCGTAATGCAGTCAAGTGAGCAGAAACTAAGAAAAGCCGTCCGACAGTCAGTGAAAAAAGGCGGGGAGACGGGGTATGCGTGGAGGTAGAGTTATGCTGGGGGAAAACAGCTGCGCCTAACGGACGGGCTGGAGTGCTGGCTGTGTATCAACAGCGGTATGGCGTAGGGAGTTGCTTACCGAATATCGTGAGGAGGTTAGACGGCATGGGATAGAGCTGTTGGGCGGTTTTAAATACGGCGTAGAGCGATTGTATTGTTGGCTTACTTCTCATTAGCTCATGGTTAATTTCCATGAAGGGGATTTGTACCTTTGGCTTTTAACATATAATCTCTTAGTCTACTCTGCCCCTTTAGCAGGCTTACGCACGGAAAGGAGGATGAAAGATATGCTGGTCTTGGGCAATGCTGGCCTCTGGCATGCATCCCCTAACAATGTATCGAATTATGCATTTTGTGTTAAAATAATTTAAAAATTTAATTTTTAAATAACTTTTGATGACGCTGTTTTATGGACATCTAATTTATTGACAACAAACTGTATAAATTATTGCCACGTTTTTTTAGTCTAAACATTTGCAGGTAAGTCGTTAAATTCAAACTGATAGGAATAAAATCTATCTCATGAGTTAATACGTTAAAATTCCTCTACAGTTCCTTTCTATTTTATAGTCGATCCCGGTCAAAATTTTATTTGCACATTGTTTACAAGACGTAGTTGATAAAATGAAAATGACTATATTATGTCTCATACAAGTCAGCATTCGACGTGTATTTTTCTGCATAAACTATAACATAAATATTTGTGAAAGACAGGCCGTGATCAAGATTTTAATCTATTAATTTTCTTCTAAAAAAATTGGGCTGTTACATATAGGTGGAAAATCTATTTGAATTTACAAGGTTGTCTGTCCATGAATGTTCAAGGTTCTTCCTGATGTTTAAATGATTTATGAACGATTTGTCATCCCGTTTCCTACGATGCCTTCATTCTTCATACAATGATGAGTCAAGCTGTTGCAAGTATAAAATATGGACATCGCCGCACTTACGTTATCATACGTCAAACATTAGGATCAAATGACGGAGAATTATTATTTGTGACTGGATTAAATTTTATGTCACGCTTAAATTTCGATGATTTTTATCTAAACCAAATTATTTACATAAATGCAACCTATTATCTGAATGGTATTAAGAAACCATTTAGGACCTAAAGCCTAGGTTGCAACGAAGCAGAAATTTTCACTTAGCATTACGTACCGCCCATTGAACGAATATGTCCTTCATACCAACTTACCGCTCACTAAACGAGTATATTACTTAGTCTCTTTTACCGCTCATTGAACGAACATGTCCTTCATACCAACTTACCGCTCACTAAACGAGGATATTACTTAGCCTCACTTACCGCTCATTGAACGAACAAGAAGATTTCTCAGAAAATCATGCTGTAAAATCAGAGCACGTAGGCAGAACAGCGATCTTCAAGTTATTGAACAGCAAGGAAACTCTACAAGTGCAGATGAACACTTTCGAACAGAAGGAGAAAATTGAAACGAACGCATCCCAATTCCTGATTATCTAGAATTCTAGATTAGTAGGCAGCGAAGAAGCTGTTGTTTGTCGCTGTCGTGCGCCCGAACCTAGAGTTTGGAAATGCCGCGAGATCACCGAAACTTGTAAAGGACAAAAATCTAGTAGAGTAATCATAGATGTGTTACAAGGATAATTCCAGGCTTGGATGGCAAGTCACATAAAGGAAGATTGAAGAATATGAGGCTTTCAAGCATCTGTTATAAAGGTCTGCGTGGTTACCTAATTGAAGTATACAACTGTACCAAAGGTTTATTTAAGGTCCCGGAAGGATGACTATAATTTGAAACCAGCACCAACTCCAGGAACCACGACCATAAACTAAAAAACTGCTCTACAACAACATTTCTTCCCGCTCCGAGTCGCCGACACGTGGAACAGCCTCCCCGATGGCAGACATGAAAATGCCTAGCACCATATCGAACCTGATGGAAGTATAGTAGCTATTTCAAACTATCGTTAGTTTTGAAAAAATCTGGTCAAAGGACCTGTTTTTAGATATCTCCTATGAACAAGTCACGAAAAGTATAAGAATCGGCGACAGGCAGCATCAGACCTATTATTCAACGCCGACATCATTATGATATGATACGATGTAACACAACCGACGACGGAAAAAAATATGGAATATGGGGTTTGAACTCTATATTTATTCAAATGACAGGCACATTGATTTAGGGCTTCAACCTACAATAGGTTTAGGTTTCGGCAGCCTGGAAGGACCAGCATACGGGTCCAAGGCTGTGGAAACACCAATAGTTATAGTTATGGTGATAAGTCATAGGCAGAGGATTAAGTTAGTTACGGTGTTAAATTTAGCTTCAGTTTATACAGTAATCCTTATAGTTTATACAGTTATCGTTATAGTTTGTACAGTTATAGTTATATGGTTATCGAAAGTTTTTTTGCAGATGTAATGTTCTTTTATGATTAGTAGGACAGCAGCACGCCTCGACCGTAGGCGCACGCCAGTCCCAGAGCAGGTCTCACGCTTGTAGTGGACTCCAGTCGTTGCGTGGCGGGACGACAGACGTCGGATGACAGGACGACAGACGTCGGACGACAGGACCTCGACCAATGTACAATACCGCCAAATACGTTGCTCAGATGTGAACATAAAGCTTGAGTAAGGATAATTGAAAATATTTGAACAGAAATACGTGAACAGGTTGCTGTTTGGCTGTAAATGAAAGACCTCATGAATCGTCACGACCAGACACATGAACAAATTGCATCGTGCTGCTCCCATCAAATATCTAGTTGGATGCAAATTAAATAACTAAAGTTTAAATTTCAGAGCAACATATAGTCAAATAGATTCACTTAAACCAAGGCTTCTAAATATAAGGAAGCGAGCCGAACCGTGACCGGCTAAGCCGACTTCACCAACACAGGTAAAGAAGAAGGCGAGACCGGCAGCAGTCGGCTACGCCGCTGTATGTGGTCACGTCATATGTACAGAGGTTGCATCGTCTTATTCATGATATGATATATGATATGAAACTCGTCCGACATCATCAGCGACGACAACTGCCTTCACAACTCGAGCTATAGCTCTATATATAAAATGTTGTTTTCCTTTGGGCGGGATTTGGAGAAATAGAGATTTTTAGGCTTACGAATTGGCTAGAATCAATATTCGAATACTACGTCATTTTAAATGTTCCAATTTGTCTTTAATTCACGCATTAAAAAGGACCAGAGTTCTTAAAAGAAATGCAAATCACATTCCTGAATGAAATTCTGAATATAATTTTTCTGTCTACGGAAATAAACTTATCACAACGTGTCTCGTCATATTTTTTCCAACGTGAAAGTTATTATATACTGTGTTAAAGAGAATATACCTCAAATACCTCTTTTACATACTCACTTACCTCCATTTAGAATATCTCCTATTACCGCAGAGACCAACCTGAAGACATGCAAGCTCGACAAAGACCCTTGCTTGAACCACGGCTACATGGGCCCCGCCTGCGCCTGCCTCTGCCCGCCTGGCACCAGCGGCAAGAACTGCGAAGTTTTGGAGATGTCTTATCAAGGTACAGAGCCAAGTGGACATGATTAATTTTCTCATTTGGGAAATTTTCCGTGGAGTCTTTTGATGCTTCAAACGCGCGCATTAAACTAATTGACATGCATATATCGGATAAGATTTAAGGATTAACATTTCTAGATTATGAATGTGATTTAGTGGAAGTTTGACATTGAAATGTACTGTCAAACGAGTCGAAAATGAAATTTTTCACTACGTTACTATTGTTACAAATTAAATCTTCGTTTCTATCGTTATAATTTGAGTATAAATTTCAAGAAACGAAAATATATGAACTTTGTTAATTGATGAAAATTGAAATTTACGATATGATATCCCAATGAAGACTAGTATATTTGGATGATTCCATTAGCATATTGTTAGCACCTACGAACGGGTATTCATGACTATCACAATCATATAACATGCACTAATGCGTGTCAACTAAATATAAAAATCATGAGATCATGATCACGATGAGTAGATATTTATTATATTTCATGAGAAATTTTTTACACAGTAGTCGTTTTTGCTACTGGTTTGTGTATGAAGAGTTAAACAGCAAACAAATCTTTCATGGGATGCATTCAACTCCCTTCATTCATATGTCAAACCATAAACAAAATTTATTGTTTTCGCCAACGATTTTATATGTTCCAGATGCGATGCTGAAATTATTTTGGACAAATTCAAGCACTATTACGAAGAACAATACTGTGGTCAAGAACCCTGAATGTTCAGGAACTTCAGGCTGTGGTAAGGAAAAATGAAGTAACATTGTTACAAAACCTAACCTAAGACCAATGATTGCTCACTTGTTTTTCATAATATCAATCCATGGAAGGTGTGTGTTTATCAAAAATTGAGATCAAAACTGAGATAATCTGCTGGCAAAATTGACACAGCCCACTCAGATTCGAGTAATATTCTCTCTGTTTTACTCTTTGGAAGAAGCTATGTGTGAACAATAATGCGTATCAATGAAAACAAAAGCCTAACAAAATTTTGAGGATGGGAGACACAGATTAGGTGCTGCCACGGACTCAATAGGCTCCCTATAGATAGATAGGCCCACGGACTCTCTATCTATCTGCTGCCACGGTGCGAAAATCAGCCGCTCTATATCTCTTCGGCTCAAGCATATCCTGCCTCTGGGCAGTTTGCAAGCTCGGTATGAGTGACCGTATGACTCGGTTCGGCCAACCCTTCTCATACTCGCAGACGACTATTAAGTCGAAAAAAAATATTCTGACCAGAAACTCATTTCGATCGGGTGGTCTAGCAGAGCCCGGATCACTTTGCGCCAAGGGTAACGACTATACGGCTGAAGCCTGGGATGTCCCCGAATTTGGTGCCTTGAGTGTCTCCCCATTATCGATTGGAAACAAAACAAATACATATTCATAAATGATTATTAAAATAGTCTTTCCCATCAGTGAACTTTTCCGTTCTAAAGTGCGGTGACGCAACAAATACAAGTTGATGGCTGGTAATAATTTTACCTATTTAATCATAGTTTCTCAGTTAGTCACAGAATTTTGCCTTGTTTCTTAGATATTTCCCATAATGTGGTGGCAAAGTAGCCCAGTAGATATTGTTGAGAGTTCCAGCATTCCGGCAAGCTGTAGGAATTCAGCGGTGTCTAGAAAAAAGGAAGGACCAAATTTGGTCTATTGAACGCTGAGCTCACTGCTACTATTTCAAAAACTTCTAATACGAACGCGCCTCCACTAGACATCGTAATTCCATGTGATCAAATGCGCAGGGGTAGTAATGGACATCGTGCTGAAAGCCGGTAAGTGTGAGCGAGCCGTGCTGACCTTCCAGGACTTCGATCTTCTGAAGCGCGGCGAGGATGGATCTTGCCAACCTGCAAGCAAGCTGGCAATAAAATCAAAAATCGAAGACGGGAGCCCAATGTATGTTTCTTTAAATTTTTTTTTTTTGCATTTGTGTGAGGCCAATAATGTCAATGTTGTGGGGGCAGAGATTTGCTGCCTCCTAACATTCCTTCCATTCTCGCTCTGCATTCTTGAATAATTCAATCGATTCATCACAAAAGGTAGTAACATTCAATCTGCAGATGCGATAACTAACTAAGGGAGAAATAATATTTACACGAAAAATTCATATTCAAACCGACTGCTGTAAAGATTTTATGCAGGATGTAAAATTTTGTGCATATTTATGTATGCAATAAATCAACTGTGTTTATTGATGATATAACGCTTCAAATTATTAGTAAATTATTTCTTGTTTTTTTCCAGGATTTTTTGCCACAAAGAAATCCTGCCTGGCCAAGTGTTTAAAGGCGAAAAGGGCCTCTTAATCCTCTCGTTCGAAGGCACCATAGACTCACCAAACCTGAAGTATGAAGAGTGGAAGGCCCTCTTCACCACAGAACGCATCGCCGGCTGGTGAGAGGGCTATTGGTGTACAAGGTTCTCGGGCAAGGATGAACTGTGTATCTGATGGTTGGTGCAGTGTGAATTTCTTCCTGGGTCAGTGTTTACTAGAGTGTTGGCATTGTATTTCTTTTTGCAAGCGAGAGAAGTATGGATCATCGTCGTTCATGATAGCAGTAACTGATGGCCTGGTAAATAGAGTCAGGATCAGAATGCAAAAGTTTTAATACCTACAACTTCAGAATCAAGTCGCTGAGATGAATCAACTCGATTAATCTCGTCGACTTTTTCCAGATCTCTAGTCGTTATCAAATAAAGTCTGTGAAGTAGTCTTGACAAGTAATTCAAAATGTCGTGGATTCGAAATAAATAGAAAATGACCGCAAACCAAGCAACCCGAATTCCGGAAATGGTTTCCGCAAACCAAGCCACCCGGACAGTGGAAAACCTTTTCAGAAGGTTTTCCACTGTTGTACATGCTATACCAAAGTTAAAAAAAAAACACTTTAATTATCTGCGCTATTTGCTCATTTTTCGAGTATGGCCCTTTGAGCAATGGGCCCATACGACTTTCAACTCAGAAGGGGTGCACTCTTATCGAGTTGCAGGGGTTACAACCATATAGAGTTGAAAGAGGAGCACCCCTAGCTTCTAACAAGAAGGATAATACTCCTATTGTTGTATGGAGAGACACACGCTTCAACTTTTTTTGTGCGTCGAGACTGCCAAGCCTGATATACCGAAGATTAAAAATCGACCTCATATGCTGTAATTTATTAACTTAATCCATGAGCTACAAAAGGTTATCTCAGATAGCATTCATCCTCGATGAATAAATATTATTGCAATAGTACACGTTTTCAATCTGAAGGGACCAGCGTCTTATCATAACGTATGGAAACACTATTTCAGTCTGAGAGTAGTCAACAGTTGGAATGGTTTGCCTGGCGAGGCTGAAGCGCCTCACACTTTGAAAATTTCATTTGTAGGCATTGGAAAATAATCCCAAGTTAAAATTTAGAGCAGGGAATACAGCTGGCTGACGCCGGCTATAGGGCCGCCGTAGAGACGCGATAGAGCAGAAATAACCGCATCAGAGACGATATCGCCAGCCGCGTAAAAGCGATAATTATTCTCTCAGTAGCTGCCCAGGTGTGCTCTGTCCTGCCGACACGCAGCACTCAATGAACACCGCCCGCTCAAATCAGCCCAACGCTGCTCTGGGGCTCTGGAAAAGTCAGAGCGATTATTGGATAGGAGACAATATTCACATGCACTAATTTCAGATAAATGAACTCAGTTGCCACTCGTATGATACCGTCAGTTGGATGTAAGAGAATAACAGAGCTAAATTTTCATCGTAATTTATTTTATTTTTGCATTAGATTCATGTCATCCAAATGATTGATAGGAAAATTACCAACGTATTTAAATCATTAGCCTGCTTAAATCGCAAGTTCACCACGAATTTGAAAGCGCGTTATATGTCAATTAAATTCAACATATCTTCAATGAAGACGTTTCGGAGCCTAGCTCCAAAACGCAGAAAAATTTCGTCAATTTTATGAATTGATAATGAAGCAGGTCTCCTACACATTTTCAGTGAAAATCTGTTGAATTTGCATGTTATTTTTGCCATTACATCCATGTTTTTTTAAGTTTTCCGTGCATCCACGTTAGCAAATTTTCTCATTAAAAACTGATTGATTTCTCGCTTAAGTAAAGCGTGAATGAGCGTAAACGATCCTGTTTTGCGTGTCATAACTGGAAAGATAAATAAAATTCTTACATTACTCAAAGTAGGTATTAAAATAATGACGTGGTCTAAATATCATAACTGTCGCGAGAAATGAACCCAAAATATCGTATTATTCGAATAAACTAGATAGAGGTTGGAGTTCATTCTAATTCCCCTGTTTCCCTCTCTCAAAACCCCCTTTGTAATGCACGGCCTGCATGGCTACTCTGCTCAGAACGCTGCCGCGAGGTCCCTATGCCAGCGCTACATCAGCGCAGCATTCCGTCCCTGCCGAGCTGTTAGAATTTGTCTCTATATTAGCCTTGGCGCAGCGCAGTTTTAGGGATAGATGGTCAGTTATAGTTTCACTGTTGCGTCCGGCTTAATTAAGCCAATAACATCCCCGGTCGGGGCTTAAAGTTTTGACTGGGTAATGAGCGACTACACAAACTCTGCGACCCTTCCGGAATCTGGCAATAAAGGCTTGGTGATTGAGTGGGGCGCAGGAAATAGATTATTTGAAATAGCACTGGCCGCAGTCATTCGTATGAACCATATATACAAAGGTAAACAGTATAATAACGACTATGTATAATCCAAAAAAATAGCTTGAAATGGAAACGGGACCTCATTTTTCAGATAGAAGCTGCCTCATATATTTTTCGCAGATGTTGCAGTCATGAAGAGATTTCCATTCGAAGTCGTTAAAGCCTCGTGTGTGAACTCGTAAAAATGATGACTGGACATTTTTATACCTCGATATAAGTTTCGACTTGACATACCTCGTGCCTTGTCGACATACGACCTGTAAGAAAACATGTATCTTAATAGTTTATAATTCTATCTCTGCCAGATTTGGTCATATATAGGAACAGTTTCTTGACGTACTGAAAACAAGCAACGAACATAAGGATTGGCAATGCTTTACTTTAAATACCTTGAATGTATTATATGAAAGTTATGTAATGTATTGAACCAGTTATAATGTAAAAACGCTAGGCGTGTTTCTCAATTTTAGTAATTGAAAAGTCGGAGCTATGCAAATGTTACGTATGAACTTTTACTACGATGATAATTTATAACCAAGAAATTTAGAAATTTCTGAACTGTATTTATTGAGCTCGGCATATATGGATTAATTGATGTTCATGTATGAGTATTTCAATGCAATCAAGAATTTACAACGCGAATTCCAATGCATAGTCAAGTAAATGAGCACATTGTGCCTGATGGTCGGATTATGAGCAGCGCTTTAAGTAAATAAATTCGTTCTTACCGTTACTAACTTACCTTTATTTATAAATATTAATTTTCTTTTGATGAAATTTTTCTCCCTTGCAGCACGGGATGAGTGATCGCGTTCTCTCCTGTCCCAGCTGCGAAAACTCAGTCCGGCGTCCCGTCCTTACACCTTCCTCAACCAAATAAATAAATTATTCAAGCTAACTAATTAGATCAGGGACGGGTGTTTAGGTGGCCTCTGCATAGCGCTAGCCAGCCACCGAATTTATTTCAATTAATATGAGCCACTCACAGGTTGAGGTCCATTTCGATAACATGCAAATGCTTATAGGCCAAATGTTCTTGAAGAATATCAAGCATTTCTTACTTGGCAAGAGAGAGATGAAACGTCAAAATTGGAGTGACATGAATCTAGGTTAGTTAACCCGCAGTTCATAATTAAGATTAGAGTGTTCAACTGTTCATTGACTGAATTTATTAGGCAACATCCGCATGGGTTGTTACTTGCGAACGCTGGTGCCATTGGCTGACAAATATTATGGCCAGTTTTGGAGGTCCAGTCGACACAGGTTAGGTCGTTTTTGTTCGATTTAGTTGGTTTTCTATGGCCGTTCTACCAAAACTCGTTCAAATTAGAGTAACCACCTTAGTACACGAGATGGCTCAAGTTCATGAAGATGCCTAAGTACACATGGTAGCCTAATTAAACATATCGGTCGATTTCTCGTCAGTTATTGGTTGATGATTGGTCGTTAGTGATTGGCTGATGGTGTTACAAAATCGTAATTTTTATTGTAATGCCCCAGGTCTATTTATTCTCGTGTGTTGTGCCATTTACCTGCCATTTATTCATTATTACCACATGAGTTTTCCGGGTCGCCTGCCGTAGACCACCACTGCCCTGGATGTAATGGACCATCATGATTCCTGCCGTCCAGAACATAGCCTTCAACACTTCTGGACAATCATATCTGGGCCGTGCGTCGAACCAGCCCTCGGTCAAACGGCCACTCGTCGAAGGACGATAAATTTTGGAACAGAACTATGCTATGTGAAATTCGTTAAGGGCGCTCGATCGTTTGCCCGTAAACCAAGTCATGAGGGTTATAATAACTGCACTGGTAGCCATGGTTCCTCTACAACTGCACTCGATGATTGACTGACTGCAGAGCAGTCAGCGCAGAAATGTTAGCACATGGCGAATTCATGGAAATATTTATTACATTGAATATAAGAAACGAACTAGAATATAATGCTGTGAGGATATTACCGTTTCGTAATTAAATTATCCAATAATTTTTCCATATATTTCTTAATTACTGAGGGGTTTGAAACATTTCTTGATTGTAAGCTCGGTGCATTGACAATGTTCATGCTTAAGGCAGTACATAATGGCTTATTATTAGGCATCATTATCATTGTTAGACCCGCGTGTAATTTCATCATAATCCATGATTATAAGGTGCATCATAAACCAAAGGAGCATCACATCCATCAAAATTCATCAACACCACAAGCATTTGAGCAATATTTATCGTATTAAGCAAGAAAATTTTAATCGTCATATTCATCATACGAATATGCAAGTTCAATGCGTTAGTTTTTTGAAAAGTTTTGTTGGTAATCACCTTGCTCGAATTTGAATTATTTTAATGTCCATGAATCGATTAATTCGAAAATATTTGCATCACTTCGAAGGTGTTTCTTGAATTGCAGCAAATATGGCAGATGCTTGGGACTTTTATACCGCTGCGATTTTAATGATAATTTATTTAGGACTATCATATACATGCATGAAATCATTGCATTACTGTGTTGGAATAGCGAAATGACCGCCCCCTTCCCCCATATTCACGTCTTCATATTGACGTCTCGCGTCCAAACAACAGGTCAGATAAAGCCTGCGGCGTGATGTAAATCTTGGTTGAGTGATTTATTGAATGATTGTGAAACAAGATGACTAGTGATGAGTCATGCAGGAGGCAGATGAGCGGTAATGCCAAATTGGCCCTTGACAGTGTTGAGGGAAGTCCCTTTCAATGATGCCGCAAGGTATAAATTTCAGTGTAGTTATTATAACTAGACTGCATTCTGCCCAAAATGATTCATTAACTTAATCACGTTAAAGGTGTTGCAATAATTATTGATATTTATGGTTGGATCTAGCGTATTCCTTAGGTTTGTCATATTAATTTTATGTTTGATTTTCAGACTGAGTAAAAACAGACAGACTGGTTACCTGGTACATACCATTATTTGAGGTTGAGTAGACCCCCGCGCCTCGGTTTTGCGCTGGTTTCTTCTCCTTTTTCCTTCAACTGTACATACATTGTTCTTCTTGTTGGGTGACTGGTTGAATAAATTATTAAATAAAAACAGAAAAATGTTGAATAAAAAGGTGGATTGGGATGGTTGTATAGGGGAGTTGGAGACCATCTCTTCAGCCCCTAATGTGGTTGCTCTTCAGCACCTACAGAGGTGGCTCATCAGCCCCAATAAAGGTAGGGCCTGAACTTACGGAATACAGAGGCGACGCTATGGCGTGGCCTGGGAATGCTACGTCTGTAACACATACTGAAGATTCTAAGGATGCTAAGGTCACCTACCATAAATTCACTGCTGCATGTGACCGCGTGTTGTGTCCGTGGTGCCGCCGCGGGGCATACAATCGGACGGTGTTAATCACAGGGCTCCGTGTCGCATCACCTGTCGACTATCTAACACAAAAGAGATTACAACTGCAATACCTGAATGCTGGGTTATCTAGAATTTTTCATCAAAATTGACATATATAGGATGATTTTATGTTTTTTTTTAATTAAATAAAACTAAAATATTTGGAACCTAGCATGTGTCTCATTAAATCGAGAATATTTCTGTTATTCATCATGGCTCTGCATACGTAGTGTATGAGCGTTCACTTTCTCCTTGGAGAAAAATTACAGTGAAATTATGAAGTTCAACGATAAATCCAAGTTTTATCGATAATTCTAGTTTCCGTATTTTAGTTGGATCCAGCTAATGTTTTTATTTAAACGCATACTGGATATTTTCATGTAAAAAAAGAACAAGTAAAAATCGCTGGATATATTAAAAGTCTATTTTGAAACATGTATTGATAGTGAACTGACAAATATCAATATTAAAAGCAGAACCAACCATGAGGTCGTGATTTTTTTTAATTATGCCGTAAATGATGCGTACATGTACTGAGCACAACCACAGAGTAGGCATTCTAATTGTGATCGTTTGTAACACTTCGCAGCGCCATGTAGTGATGATGATGATGGGCGCTGCCGCGTTCACCAAGTAATTGCGGGATTTAAACATGTAACTAAATGATAAAATTTCGCAAATATAATTCAGAAAAGCATGCACAGATCTGCTGTTTTATACCGCTAGAAAAATTACTGAAATGTTTTTATAAAAGCTGCATTATATTAATTATAGGATGTTCATGAATTTTTAGTAAATAACTTCTGTTTGAACACAAAAAATACGTGCTCGAAATACGTGCTCGAAAGAAAAAAATATCTACATATATGTTGTGAGTGAAGGTGGTTTGAAATACTGCGGATCTGTCTGTTAGGAGTCTGGGGTCGACTTACTTGATCGATGAGTTAAATTTTGAAAGCCGTTAGGATTTGAGCGATCAAGCTCCAACCAGCGGTTGAGGTGGGCTGAAAAATGATGATGGATGATAACTGATGAGGATGGTGTATTGAGGATAAACGTTGTCCAGGCCGAGAAGAGGGATAGGTGCCCCTAGCTTCCTGGTACAAGCCCGACGGGTTCAAGGCAGGAGGAGAGGACGAAGGGAAGGAACGAAAATGCTCGACAGCGACACGTGTATGACACCAATAAATTCGATATTATTAATTCCATTAGATTACCCCGTAAACCCATAGCATTGATTTTACTGCACCGGCGTGACTCACCACTACGCTGCCTGACTCGCTATCAGTTAATTACTGATTTGACTAAGATTTGCATCACGACGCAGATGCCTCCTGAATGACGTCTGATAACTCCATTGTGCGCGTTCATTTTAACTTGAATTTGCTCCGATATTCAAGCCAATCCAGGCCCGCCTCTACTTGAAAAGTTCTAACACCTCATCTGTTTGCGGCTATTAAAATTTTATGCTAATTAATATCATTAACTGACGTCAAGATGCACCTGCGACGATATGCAAATCTTTGCAAAGTGATTTATTGTCAGAAATCCTGACGAATTTTATATTGCAATTCTGACTTCAATTTCTGCGCCAGAAGCGACTTTCAGTGAACGATGATTCTGAGGAATATGATGTAGACGATATTAATAATGTGAATATAAATAATGTTTTCTACTTAATATAGATTTTTCCTTTTTTATATTTTTTTGCTACCCAATTACAATTACAACATTACTGGGATTGTGAAGAAGCAATTTTTCGAAAGTCATTTATGTATATGATACTTTTTGCGGCAGAAATTACTTGCAATGCTATTTATGCTTATGATGATCTTGATGAATATGATAATTAGGATGCAATGCGATTCGGAAATTGTAATGATGTGATCCGATTAGAATCTTGTAATGTGAATTTAGTGATGTTGGAACGTAAAATGCTTCCAATGAATCAATGCTATTTGAATGATTTGTAGATGTTATGTGATTGTAGAGTTACACGAACTTGATGATGTAAAATCAGTCTCAGGTGCAATGTTGATTGAAACACTAAAAGTTTGCCAGCCGGTATGATAAACAAGCCTTGATAATATCGGGTTTATTACGGTGGCTTTTTTTAATTGTAAGTGATATACTTTATTTGTCAGTTGCGCGTGGAAAACATGAACTGAAATGGATAAACAAGTAACAGCATTGCAACATCATTTAGGAAATGATTTAACGAAATAAATTATCGTAATGTTTAATGTTAGAATTTCAAAAATACATCCTTTGTGTCTGATTGGAGTGACATAGTCGAAAAGAAAAAAATGCTAATTTTTGAGATATGGTTAAAAAACAGAGTCATGAATATGACTCGAACCCTCATTGTTAACTATATCACTGAAATTCCATTAATTTATTCTAATCGAATGGTATTTTGCAGAGACAAACAAATTGAAATAATTTAGATTATATACTCGCTCTGTGTTACCTGTAGCCCACTCATAAATATAAAATTGCTTTTTATACAGACTTTCTGGAGCTGTGTAATTAACATTATATAAGCTAAGTGTATCTTAAGAACCCGACTGAGCATTATTTTTTATAATAGTTCTTTAGGTAACATTCCGGTAAACTGATCTCGCGAATCTTCCGCCATAGTAATAACCAATGGTAATTGCTTATATATTAAATGGACTTTTGAAAAGCATTGCAGTGTAAAAAACTAACAAATTTAAGAAAAAATCTTAGCTAAACAAGGGGTTAATTTTGCTGCTTAATATACGGTTAACATAAATAATTGATTGTGCTGGTGACCGTGCTTCTTTTTAACATTAAACTTGACAATCGACTAACAGTATAGAGCAGTCAGAATTTCATAGTGAGTCATAAGTAGGCTGAATATAAAATATTTAAGTTATAGAATTTGGTCTGATGTGACCGATTGATATAATCCACAGAATTTTAAAATGCTCTATAACTCAATGACTATTCAGAAATTTCATCATAGGTTTGTGAAGAACTTTCAAACTATTCATTGAGTTATTTTGTTTTTTTCAATTGCTGTCATATATTCATCCGGTTTTAAAACATTGATTTGCATGTAAGCGCAATGCATTAACAACTTTCTTGCTACGAGTACCAAGAATATCAATTAAACAATAAGATCGATGTATCATGTGCGAGCTTTATCGTCATATGGTCATTGAAATCGAGAGCATCATTAGCGGCATGTGCATTCCCTATCGAAATTCGAAGACCTGTCAACCGCTGGCACACGGA